GAAGAAGCGGTTGCCGACGGAAGCAGAGTGGGAGAAGGCCGCGCGTGGCACCGATGGGCGCAAGTATCCATGGGGGAATGAGGAGCCGTCGTGTCGTTATGCGGTGATGGATGAGGGCAATGACGAGAATGGATGCGGTGAAGAGCGGACATGGGAAGTGGGGAGCAAGCCAGCGGGAGTGAGCCCATATGGAGCGCATGATATGTCGGGTAATGTGTGGGAGTGGGTGAGTGACTGGTACGACAAGGATTACTATGCGTCCTTGCCAGGGCGAGATCCCAAAGGACCAGCGCGGGGCTCGTATCGGGTCATACGTGGCGGCAGCTGGAACCTCGCTGGCGGCTACTTGCGTGGCGCCACTCGCAACTTCTACTTCGGGCCAAGCTTCGCCGGCACCGGCTACTTCCTCGGGTTCCGCTGTGTGAGGTCGTTGAACTGAGAAACAGTTCAACCGTTCCTCCGAAGAGAGGAGAAGGACTGTTGCAAGCAGGTGGGGTTCATCGGAGAGAAGGCTTTGATGCGTAGGGGGTGGAAGGAGGGCGTCGAAATAAGCGATTGATCAAAGGAAGAGTGTGAGCTGTGGCGCCAGGGGATGCACTCCCTGGAGGTCAAAGGAGGCTTATGAAGGACAACGAGATCGACGGCGCGTATGAACAGGATAGGCTTCTCGAGTGTCATTGCCACCCCCCCCGGTTCACCAGCGTGAACAGCGCCTCATCGAGTGGCCGAGGTCCCGCGACGTCCGCGGTGACTCCGAAGAGCCCGAGCGCGATGGGATTGAACGTCATCGGCTCGCCGGCTCTCGGCATCGGACTTGCCCTAATCATCAATGTTGCACGCCGCGCTGTCCCGAGTGTACTCCGCCTCGAAGACCCAGCGCGAGCCAGCGCAAGACTTGTACTGTCGATCCACATATTGGTTGGGTATGCCTTCGTACTTTACGCAGTTCCATCGGCACGAATAAATCTCACAGCGTGGCTCGGTATCTTCGTAGGTTGTGCGCACGTCAGCGCTCGGGCACTCGACGGTCATGCCGTCTTCGCTGATCCCGCTTTCCACTGTCTGTTCGCCTTCATTGCACCCCGTGAGCGCCACGCTCGCTACCGCCACCACGATCCATTTCTTCACGCTCACCTCTCTACCTGAGCTTATCAAACGCCACACACCGTTCGATTCCAGGAGCGGAGGCGGGCTCGAGCAAGGAGGCATGAACAAGCCCTGGCTTTGTGATTGACGCCCATGACCGGGCGTCAACCGACTGTCCAGTCGTCAGGCTTCGGAGTGACGACTGTCTTGATATAAACGCGCGAACACTGAGGCATGTGCCGGCTCCGGAGCGGCATGACTGATACTTTTTTCAAGAAAAAGTGTCAGTCATGCCGCTCCGCCGCGCTCGTTGTAAGTGAGCGGGGAGGACCTCGCTCGGTTATCACGAGCACGAGAGAGGTCAGGCGGATGAAACTCGAGGTCGGCGACATCAAGATGGACAGCGACGCTGGGATCAGCTTCACGCAGCAACAGCGCACGCCTGTCACGCACACACCATCCCTGGACCCTCCCCACAGCGAAGCTGGCGAGGACAGGTCAACCGCCACGCGGCGTGGCCTCCTGTACGCGCTGGTGATTTCTGGCGCGCTGATGAGCGCGCTCACGACACTTGTCGCGCTCGGCGCGCTCTCGCCGCTGCTCCTGCTCGGGTGGGGGCTCATCGCGGCGCTCGCGCTCGTGACGCTCATGACGGGCCGCGTTCGCGCCGCGCAGCGGGAGCGTGGTTCTTCTGAAAATGGCGGGGAGGTCGAGCGCGAGCGCGCTCGGCGCCTGCTCCGCCTGCTCGACGCGATGGCTCCGATGGATGTCCGCGCGCTCACCGAAGAGACCGGCTGGAGCGAGGAGGCCGTCCTCTCGGGGCTCGTCTTCTTGCTCGAGCGCGAGCTCGTCGAGGAGGACGTCGACCTCGAGACTGGCCACTTCTGCTACGCGAGGAGTCACCACGTTCGCTTTGACTTCGAGGAGCGCGAGGCGCTCGCACCCGCCGCGGAGCGCCTCGCCGCGCTCCGAAGCTCCAAACCATGAACACCTGGCTTTACCAAACGCGGCGGCGCATACGCCGCCGCACACCCACGGAGAGATCACATGAAAGACAAGACAACCGCGTTCCTGCTCGCCTGGTTCCTCGGCGGCATCGGCGTCCACAAGTTCTACCTCGGTCAAAACGGCATGGGGATCATTTACGTCCTCTTCTGCTGGACGTTTATCCCCGCCTTCCTCGCTTTCTTCGAGGGGCTCGGCTACCTCTTCCAGGACACCCATACCTTCAACCAGCGCTACAACAACCAAGTGGCCGGCTACCTCCCGCAGCCAAGCCCCCAGCAGATGGCCCAGAACATCACGGTCAACATCCCGCCCGGACAGGACACGAGGCAGCTCACCGGGCCAGGCGCGCGCAACATCACTGACGAGCTCCATAAGCTCAATGAGCTGCGCATCGCCGGGGTCCTCACCGAGGCCGAGTTCGCGCGCGAGAAGCAGCGCCTGCTCTCATCCTGACGAGACTTGGCGCACGCGCGAGCCCTGAAGTGAGGCTTATCCCCTCGATTTTCCTTCAGGTAGGGAAGGAAAAATCGAGGGGATGAGAAAAAAGTGTCAGCAGCGCTGATTTCAAGCCTCATGGAGATGACATGACGCGCGGCGTGGACGCGGGGCTTGACGGATTCATCTTCTGTGGTCGAGATGATGGCACGCCATATGTGTCAGCATAAGTTCATAAACAGCATGAAAAGAGGGTCAGATGAACCAGGAGGGTCGAGAGGATTTCAGGAAGATTATCCGCAGGGAAGTCAAGAGCTTGCGTCGTATCGCAGACCTGAGCTGGTCGCCGAAGAATTTCATCCTGGATGAGGTTCGACAGCAAGACTTCTTTCTGCAAGCCAAGCAGAAACACCACGTCGGATACGACGAAGAAGTCTTCCTCATGGTCGATCACTCCACCGGGCTCATGAATGCCTTCTTCGGGGCCCTCGGCGTTCGTGGGGATAACACACTGCTCTTGCTCGAGGATCGCATTTCGGTCATCAGCGAAGACGACGAGCAGCCTTACATCTATCGATTACGTGATTTTACTGATGTGACGTACGCGGATGGTGATTTCCTCTTCCACCACAGCAGCGGAGAGCTGTGGCCGCTCGGTGCAAACTTTTTCAACGCCCAAAACGTTCCCGTCGATTATTTGCAAGCCCTCTTGGATATGCTCTCCACGATCGTTCATGCCCAGTCACAGGCGGAGAGTGATGTCGAGGCGTACCTCCACGAACTCGGTCAAGAGTGGATGTGGGAGGATATCGTTCGTGCGTTCGATGAAGCTGGCGCGAACCGCACATTTTATCACTACGAGGCCGCGTCCAAGGCGCTGGTCGAGCAAGCGAAATACGAGCGGGCCATCTCGGTCATTTACGAAGCCTGGTCCGAATTTGGGAGATCCATCACGCCTCGACTGGTCTTGCTCAACGAGCAGGAGGGTCGCGCGTGGATAGGGCTCGAGAACACCTATCGGGCCTATCTCTGTTTCCAATCCATGGTCGATGCATTCAGCTCGAATGATCTTGGCGAGGCTTTCGAAGAACTCACCGAAGTCTACCGCCAGGATTTTCTGATCCCATGTCATGAAGCGTTCGTGGATGAGATGAGGGGGATGGACGCGAGCAAACGCGCGGTGGTGTATTTTCCCGACGAGGTCCCACTGGCCAACTCGACCGAGTTTATGACCCTCCCCACAGAGATGAGGAAGTTCATCGAGCTTCCGATCGGGCACCCGAGGGAAGGACAGCTCTACGTCGCTCACCCCCATCGCTCTATGGTCTATTATCCTATCGAGGAGTACGAATCGGTGCTCTTTCGCGAAAAGTATCTGGAGTTTTGCACGCTCGCGCAGGATCTGGGCGCATCACACGTGAGCCTCGAGGCCTCCAACGAGGTGGGGCAACGCGTAGCTCATGGCTCCTCGACGAGCGTCGAGGGCTCCGGGAGACACTTCACGGCTTCGGCCAGTGGTGGGTACGAAGCGGCGCGAGACGTCGCCGAAGCGAACCAGCGTCATATGGGCTTCGAGGTCGAGCAGTCCTTCACGCCCCCCACGGGACCTCCTCGCATCCCGACGGATCTGGTGTGGTTTTCACACGAGCCGGAGTGGCAAGCGCTGGCGAGGCAGCGGCTGGAGGGACGCATCTCGACGCATTCACTGAGTTTCTCCACGCGCGACATCAGGATGATCGATGAGAGCAAGCGAGAGAGGATCTCTGCCGAGCTCGAGAGCCTGGCGTGGGGGGCTTCTGGCGCCCTGATGGAGTCGCTGGCGAGGCAATCGGAGCACACGCAAACAAAATCATATCGTGTCCGCGTCGAGTTCTATCCGCTCGAGAACACCGGGAGCGTGATGACCACGCCCGCCACTCCAGAGATCGAGGATGCCCAGGGCGAAGTCCCACACGAAGAGCAGACGTGGACAGCCAACGAGCGCGATATGTTGGAGATGCTACAGGATGCGTTGGATGATGGGGTGATCTCGGCTGATGAAGAGCGTTTGCTGACGCGCATGCAGCGGCGGTGGGGAATCTCCGATGATCGTATGGACGAGCTAAAAGCTCACGCGGCCTCAGCTATCCTGAGCGATGAGGAGCGTGAGTACCTCGAGGAGTTCGAGTTCGCGTGGTCGAATGATCATCACATCTCCGCTGGAGAGAGGAGACTCCTCGACCGGCTCGCGGCAAAGCTCGGTTTGAGCGCCGAGCAAGTCGAAGACATCGAGTCCAGATACAAGCTGAAGAGTTAAACCTGTCAGGCAACGAGGTAAGGGGATCGAGAGAAAATATGAGGAGGGAGTTGCCGAACGTGCCCTGCTACGGTCTGCGTCGCGACCATAGGCTCATCGGCGTCTGCGGCTCCCTGTAAAAGTGGATGGATATTTTGGCTTATTCTGGTGACAGGGAAACGCTGGAGTTCGAGGGCATCAACCTGATTTTGACCGGGACCACCGGCTTCTTGGCCCTAGCCGACGAGCGCTACAGGGATGCACAGATAAGGGAGTGCCCACCGGCCGTGACGCTCTATAAGCTCGGTGGCCAAGCCACCAACCGACGCTTCACGCCGGGAGGCGCCAGAGACCGACGGCGCGAGTTCTTTGAAAAAGAGGGCATCCTGACCGAGAAGTTGGGCACCATGCTCTCGCGCATCCTCGACTCGGCCGACGACTTCTCCGATAGCGTCGAGACGATGGCGATGTTGCACTACTGGACCGAGCGGTGGTGGCCAGCGATCGTGCCACTACTCGGGGAAGTGAGCGAGGAGGGGTGAGGGCTCACGTGTCCGCTTCCTCCGCCGCCGTCCACCTCAGCTTCGGGCCAAGCACTGGGTGTTGCTCCCAGAGGCTCGAGGTCTCCTCGATATGCTGCGGGTCGATGTAGAGCTGGCGGACGTGCTCGAGGCCAGCGATCCTCGCGACCCCCTTGAAGTCCTCACTTCTTATGACTTTGAAGCTGACCTCGGAGACCGAGGGCATGCGCGCGACCTCGTCGCACAGGCGGTCATCGAAGGCCCCTGAGTACCGGAGCTGCTCCACCGACGCGAACACGCTCTCGCTGTTGAAGTCGGCCAAGCAGGTAAGAAAAGGTTCATTCAAGGAGAGAATACAGATCGACCACCCCGAGAAGGTATCGGGGTACTCCGGGCTGTACCCCCCGTAAGGTGACCCCAGATGACGCCCGGACTCCTCCAAGATGAGATGGTCGATGGTCTGGACAAGACCCAACGTGAGCAGCGTCGCGAACGATCCCAACGCTTTCATGTCAACACGCATGGTTTTCAGGTTAAATGGCGTATCGCATTGTATAGTGCTTTCACCCAGTGCTCTCACACAGTCCAAGAAGTTGGGGCCTAAGCTGCTCCTGTCACCACTCAGCGTCACTGATTCCAGAGACACCCCTCCCAAAAAATTCACGAGCGTGGGAAAACTATGTGCTGCGGGCACAGTGATGTTGATATCTCGATAAAGTAGCCCATGGTTCGATAGATCAGATGGCTCGATGGTGTACGCGCGACGAGATGATCTGATGATGTGGCTCGTATTGTGGTAGTGCGTCGTCTGTGAGGTCTTTTGCCAGAGGTAGTCGAGGTAGTGGGCCTTGAACTCATCGAGCTCGATCATGTCCAGGATCATGTGAAACCTCTCCCGGTTCGCCGACGTGATGCCCTCCTCGAGCAGCGCGCGGACCTCCCCAAACCAAGGCCGCTGGAACATCGCGCCAGGATCCTCCGGGGATTTTTCGAGCGCTTCCTGCCGAGGCTCCATGCTTTGTTGGCCCGTCTCAAGCGAGGCGGCCAACGCCGCGAGGCGCGAACCGACGGATTTCTCGAGCGCGATCACCTCCGCGCTCAGGCCTGCGAGCGTCGTGGTCATCTCCTGGATCTCCTCCTTGAGTTGCGCGAGCTGCGCACGCTTCTCTACGAGCTCATCGACAAGCTCCTGATCGGTCTTCACACCATTCTCCTCGCTGCACACCTTGAAATACTGCCTCGTTCTTTTGATCAAGGAGGAGTGATACCAGCATTTGTGAGCAAAAGTCCCTGACAAATCGAGGACACGCGACCCCCTGAACAATCGAGACCCACGAACCGCAGGCGATCTATCTCGAGCGTCGCTTGGCTCTTGGACGACGTTTGCTGACAGGCTGCTCTCGCGCGTGCTCGAGGGGCAGATGTGGGAGGTGGCGCTGGCGTGGAGGCTCCAAGAGGGAGGGCAGCTCGAACCTGAAGTGATGGGTGTGAGCGAGTCGGCGTTCAGCCTTTGTCGTCCTGCATCGCTCGCGAGGGCAGCGAGGTTCAAGGATTCTGGCGCCGTGTCAGCAAGCAACTGGATACGTCGCACGAGTCCGAACCGGCGAGGGCAGTGATCCTCACTCAGGATGACTCGGGAGGCTCCCAGCCCTCGGTCAGGACGAGCGCCCACCCGGTGTCGATGTAGCGCATGGAGGATGGTTTCGTCCCTGGCAGGTAACGAGCCCTGTTCACCGTCGCCTCATCGAGGATGGGTGATGTGTTCTTGTCCCTGGCGAGCAGCACCCAGGCGAGGTCCGTGTTGCTGACCTTCCTCGGTTTGAAGCCGTCCTCGCCAACACCCTCGATCTCTACAGACCCCCGATCACTCACGCTCACCACCCGGCATGTCCTACCGCGCGCGTTCACGACGCCATCCTCTCCGAGCGTGTCTTGCAGCTTTTCGGTGAACGCCTTCGCCCATTGCTTCGCGTGCGCTGGCAGGTCGCGCGACTTCGCCCTCGACCCACCGAAGCGCTTGTAGGTGTCGACATCGACATCAGCGATACGCCAGGCTTCACGCTCCCCATCGCGTGCTCCCTCGCCGTGGTACACCCACCTGTCCTCCCCCTCATCAGATTTGAAGAAGATATGCGCGCGCTCGGTCGAGAGCATCCCGCGCAGCAAATCATACCTCACGAGCGCATCATTGGCTGACACGAGCGCCACCGAATAAGCATCATCGAGGGGCTGCTCGACGATCGGGTCGATCGCATCGAGTCGAATACCGAGCATCGACGCGAGCTCCTCTGTGCCAAAGATCGCGCCCGGATCGAACGGTGTGGTCTCGCTGCTCTCGCGAGGTGAGACTCCTATCGGAGAAACAGTCCAGTGATCCTCCACACAGGAGATGCGTACGCGATGCGTCGTGCCACGCGCACCAGCCGCCTCGCCAAACCACCGGCGAAGCAAGGCATCGAGTTGGTTCTTACTCTCTCCCCTGGGGTACGCGACGTTCACAGCGATCTTGACGAACTTGAAGACCCAAACCTCCCCATCATCTAGCACCACATCGATCTCACCGCGCGGTATGCCCTCGACAGTTTTGCGATCGGGGAGCTTGAGGATGGCCTTCCCACCGCCGTTTCTTATCACCCTCGCGACAAAACCTGATGCCTCACCGGACAGCTCGCCGTCGAGCCTGCGCCGCCTACACATCAGATAGTCGAGCAGCTCCAACGACATCGCCTTCCACACCACACGATCGCCGCGCGCCACGGTCGTAAACGAGACACCGCCTGCGCTGCGGCGAAGCGCAGGGATTTTATCGATCACATCCGCGATGCGTTCCGAGTCGAGGTTGCTCGCGCGAGCGATGGCATCACCATCTTCTGGCAGGTTGTCCACGAGCGCACGCAATGTCAGGAGGAGGGAGAGCGAGAGCGACCCCTGTGATTCGAGCGCCTCGAACCAGCTCGAGGACGCGATCATCACGCGCTGCTCCTGTGGGGTGAGGTCGCCCTCCTCGAGGACGAGGTTAAACCACCCACCCCAGTACCTCCGGCAGGTGTGGATGTTGACGCCTTTTTCCTCGAGCTCCACGGCCGTGGGCCTAGCTCCCGACTTCTCGCGCCAGGTTCGATACGCGGAGAGCAGCGCGCTCTCGCTCGCATCGGGGACAAGCTGCTCGAGGAGCTCGATCGCTTCGAGCTCGACATCGATCGAGCACCCCGCTGGCAAGGTCGCAGACAGCGCCTCGGCGTCATGCAGTTCGGAGAGTCTCGCGGGCGTCCCTCGGAGCCAGCCCGTCAGCAGGAGCAAGCGCTCCTGGAAGATCTTGTGGTTCCCCACAAAATCGATCACGCACAGGGACTCCTTCCCCGGCGAGGTGCGAAGTCCTCGCCCGAGCTGCTGTAGAAAGACAGTGCGTGAGCCGGTGGGCCTGAGCATCACCACGCGATCGAGCGTGGGGATATCGATCCCCTCATTGAACAGGTCGACGGTGCACAGGGCATCGAGTTCGCCATGGGAGAGCTGCGCGATGGCGCCATCCCGCGAGGCGCTCTCCGGCCCAGAGTGCACGGCGGCAGCGCGCACGCCATGATCGTTCAACCAGCCCGAGACAAAGTCCGCGTGCCCGATCGTGCAACAGAAGACGAGCGTGCGTGTCCCGGCGTGCTCCTCCCACGCTTCCATCAGGCGCTCCATGCGTGCCCTTGTCGCGAGCGCGGTGGCGAGCTCCTCGTCCGGGAACTTTCCAGACCGCCAGGGAATCGGCGCGTAATCGATCGTGTCCTTTATCCCAAAATACTCGAAGGGAACGAGCACACCCTGACAAATACCCTCGCCGAGTCTGGCTTCGAACACGGCCTCGCCGCCAAAGAGCGAGAGGATATCCTGACCATCACCTCGCTCGGGCGTCGCGGTGAGACCGAGGAGAAAGCGCGCGGTCACGCTCTCGAGGAGGTTGATGTAAGAGCTTGCCCTCGCGTGGTGAGCCTCGTCGATGATCATGTAATCGATCTCACCGAGGGCCTCGAGACGATCACTGCGCGTGAGCGAATACACTGACGCGAAGGTCAGCTGTGCGCCAAACTCCTGGGTCGAGCCCGTGATAAAGCCAGTCGACCTGCCAGGGAAGATGTGCCGAAACGTCTTCGCGGCCTGGCGCAATAACTCCATGCGGTGGGCGACAAACAACACCCTGGCTCCCCGGCCAAGGGTTTGCTCCATCGCCTCGACATCGAAGGCCGCGAGATAGGTCTTGCCGAGTCCTGTGGCGAGCACGACGAGCGCCCGATCGTGTCCATCATCGCGATGTTTCGCGAGGGCCTTAAGCGCTGCGCGCTGGACCTCTCTCGGTGAAGGGCGGCTGTGGGCCGGGTTATCCGGGGGAGGGGACGCCTGGTTTGCCATAGCGTTTGGCGTAGGCGGTGACCCACGCGCGATCGACGCGAACGGCGCGCTCCCAGAGCGCGTCGTACTGGTGTGCGATCGCGACAAAACCTGTAGGATCCTCGTGACGCGAGAGCCTCAGGTTCCACTCCACGCCCGCGGTGAGCGCGGCCTGAGAGAGGTTCGACGAGCCGACCCAGGCGTGGGCGCGCTCGTTTGCTTCCCCCTCACCGTGAATGATCCAGGCCTTGGGGTGAAACGATGGCAGGTTTCCGAGCGTGGTCATCTCGACCACCCGCACCTCGAGCGCGCCGGCGCGCGTGGCAGGATCCCGAGGACTGTTTTCATCGTCTGCGCCGATGCTCGATGCGATGTCGAGCAGGGCATCGAGGGCGCCGGGTTGAGTGCGCGTGAGGTAGTCTCCGGTCAGGATCCGAATGCGCGCGCCGCGCTCGAGCGCGGCGAGCAACATCGACGAAGCGCGTGTCACGCCGCTTTGCATGACAAAGGCCGCGAGTAAGTCGATAGTCGTGGCGCTCCGACAGGCTCGTTCGATGGGGTCGATGAGCGGAGAGTACCATCCGCCAAACGTCGCCCTCGGGAGCGTGGCCTCGCTCGCGACAACAACGCGCAAGCGATCACCGAGCGTCGCGATGCGCACGACGCTCTTTTGGCCAACCTGCTCCTCGGCATGCGCGATCGCGTCGAACAACCGGGCTCGCTCGGTCCCATCCAGGTCCGAGATGCGCTGTGTGCCCTCGACCTCGATCACCACCACGTTTTGACTGTGCTGCCGTATGGTCGGTTCTCTCGATGCCATCTCTGTCGGTTCCTTTTTTCGCGAGGTGTTCTGGCGCCAATGTGACCTCACTCGCGCCGACCCGGTGAAAAACCAGTGGCGAGCACGCGCGAGACTTTCATTTGTACAGGAGCCTGGTCAGAGACCTTGTTGACACTTTCCTGAATACACGTCGGAGTCGATGCTGATCCGGGAGAAGTGTTCGAAGCAAACCCGACAGGCAGAGTTTCACACGTTCGATGAGCTGCGCATCGCGAGCAGTGATTCCAACGCTCAGACGATGTATGCTCCCCCCATCACATCATTGGTCCACCATTCCTGGACCCCTTCTTTATTCGGTGGAGCGCATTCGTCGATCGTGCTCGAGGAGTCGAGGATTGATCCGCGTCCTGCTACAACCGAAACCTGTCAGCTTCGATGATGATGTCAGGCAGCCTGGACTCTCTGCGATCGAAGAGCTTATCGGGAACGAACCACTGGTCACGCGGACTGGCCCCAAACGCAAACAGCTCGTGGATGAAACAGGGAACCCGATCACGGACCCCGACTTGATCCCAGGCCACAAATTTCCTGATTATTGGACCCGTGCTCTCACAGACTTGTGGGAAGCCTATGACAAGGTCTGCGCGTTCAGTTGCTTTCATATCCCACGGGTGACCGGGAGCCGCAGCGTCGATCATATGATCCCGAAATCCATGGATTGGGAGCAAGTTTACGAATGGTCCAACTACCGTCTCGCATGCGCGCTGGTGAACAGTCGCAAGGGCGCCTCCCTCGAGGTGCTCGACCCATTCGAGAGCGAGGATGGGTGGTTTATGCTCGAGTTAACGGGCTATCAACTCGTTCCTAACCCTGACCTTGGGGACGAGCTGAAAGAGAAAATCAGAACGACCACCCGCGTCCTCGGGCTCAATGAACCTGACTGCCGCAAGCTCCGCGAGGAGTATGCCGAGAGCTATTGGAGCGGGGATATCTCTCTCCGTCGGCTCGAGCGTCACGCACCCCACGTCGCGTTCGAGCTCGAGCGCCAGGGACGCCTGAACGACGAGGACCAGTGACCTCTCTCACCGAAAGAAGACGCGTGAGGTTCTCGATCCGTGGTCGATGCGCGCCTGAGCTTACTTCACCGGCAGCGTTGACGAGCGCGCCTCGAGGTCAACACCATCGTCTCCACAAGGAACATGGTATCGTTACGAGTTGGGCTGTTCGTGTTCGCGCTGCTTTTCTTTACCGGCGAACCAACCGACAAATTCGCGGCGAGGGGTGGGATCGTACTCGGACGTCTCACGTTCGATGAGACAATCCGGGCCAGCTAACTCATCCTCGCTCTCCGAACAACCAGCGCCACAGCCAGCGCCACCGACCTTCTCGGCCATTCGTTCGGGGAAGATCTCCAACGGCTCATCGAACCGACCGAGCACCCAACGTTCCTGGCCAAACATTCGACCGCACGGATAAACCTCGCGCTGCATATAGATGATGTTATGAAACCCGGAGCCACAGGTGCTGCCAAACATCGTGCAAACTCGGTCTGGCTCTCCCGCGACAGCACGCCGGTAAGCTTCCAGATTTCCTACCTCGATGTGGTCGAGGCCGCGCTCCTGCTTGAGCTCGGAGATCCGGCGCAGCGCGCTGTAGAACTCCTTCGGGTTGACCATAAACTCCTTGGGGACATCGACGAGCCGATCGAAGATGACCTTGTCGAAGCCCGCGTCTTCGTAGAAGTCAAAGCATGCTTCGAGGTTGTCTATCACGTCACGCCCGAGCGTGGTGTTGATGGCGACCTCGAAGCCCGCATCCCTCAGGACTTCGATGCCACGCATGACCGCTCGATGAGAACCCTTACCGTTATGCCGCAGCCGCGTTCGGTCATGGAGCCACTCCGGGCCATCGAGTGATACGCTGGGCTTGAGCCCCACCTCCTTCATCTGCTCGGCGATACGTTCGGTGACAAGAAGACCATTCGTCACCGTGTAGAAGCGGAGCCGATGGTCCGGCGTTTGGTGGTTCAGGTTTTGAATGGCATCGTAGATGCGATCCCATGCGATCAGCGGCTCACCGGAGCCGACGAAGTTAACCTTGATGCGTTTGTCGGCCTCAGGGCGTCGCGCATAGGCCTGGCAACGGTCCAGGATGATCCCGATTTCTTCGACCGTGAGCGCTTCTGGACCCGGTAGATGATCGGGCTTGAGGAAGAAGTAGCAATACGTGCATTTCAGGTTACAAATCGAGTTGACCGAAATGCAGACACGCTCGATGCCGCTCATGATCCCTCCTTTTGGGGTGCAGACAAGGTGCCAAAGAGTCGGTTGCCCGTGTCGGTGCTACCTTTACCTGTGTATTGATTCGTCGAGGTGCGCGCGAAGTAAAACCACACATCAGGGTGACTGATCGCGAGACGTTCCGCGGTAGGTTCGGGTGTGACGAGCGCGGCGACCGCGATCCACGCCGCGCCAGCATCTCGGAGCTGTCCGAGCACTGGCTCCATCGATGCACCAGTGTTCACGACCGAATCGATGAGAATAAATCGTTGACCAGAGACATCCCCGAGTTCAGCCCAGTCGCTTTCGCCAAGACCAACCCCTCGTCGCGGGGAGACATGCACGACTCTGGCGCGTGGGAGGACCTCACGAAAGCCCTCCGCTGCATAGAGCCCCGCGCGCATGAAGACGACCAGTGCCAGCGAAGCCTCATCCTCGAGCTCCCACCCGCCTCGAATACCCTGGGGGTGCTGGATTTTGCATGACGCGAGCGGCAGGTCCTCGACCAGCTCTCCTGCGAGGTAGCGCCCGAGGGCGATGTGCGAGCGGCACAGGTCATAGGGGCGTGTGTCCGTCCGTCTAGTTTCGGTAGCGAGAAGTCGTACGATGTGGCGATTTGTGAAGTGTTTTAACGGCATACAGGACTCTCGGTCAGCGTCACGATGTCAGCGAAGGTCATGCGAGGGAGGTCGTGGTGCGGCGGGTAAATGGTAGCGACTTGCCATAGCGATGGGTGGTCATCGAGATGCGGGAGCAGGTCAGCGTTCGCGCGGTGGTTGACCAGAACGACAGCGTGGTGCGCTCCGGCGAGCATTCCAGCGTCCACCTCCGAGTCGCCGATGGCCACAATACAGGGGCTTACATCGAGAAACTCCTCGAGCACCAACGCCTTCTCGGCCTTGCCAAAAACAAATGGCAGGCGTGGATCGATCCCGCCTATGACGCGGACGTCATCCAGATGATGTCGAGCAATGACCTCACGCCAAATGGAGGGGATGCCCGCCGAGACGATGAACACCGCGCCCACATCCGAAGCAGCTCGCAAAAAATCGATGGCGCCATCATACAACCCCACGTCGCGGGCGACCTCGGGCGCGAGCGAGTCAAATACTTCCGCGCCGAGATCGACATGGACCTCGGCGTGAAAGCGGAAGGCCTCGAAGCAATAGCCATCGCGTTGGAACCGTCGCTTGATGAGCATCGGATCGATGCCGGCGCGCCGGAGAAAGACTCTGCTCGTATCCTCGGGACAAAGCGTGCGATCCGCATCCACGAGGAAGACGGGGCGACCCTTGCTCTCGGCAGCGAGAGGCCGAACAACCTGGCGCACTCGCTCTGCGTTTTCTTCGCTTGTTTGGGGTAGTGTGATCACTCGAGAAGAACCTCCTCCAAGGCACGGGCAATGCTATCGTCATCGCCCCATGGCAAATGGTGTAAGCGCATATTCCAATCGGCCGCGATCCGAGCGCTCGTGACGCGCTCTCCTTCGATCTCTGCAGCGATCACGACAGGATCGAGGCAACGACGCTTGCGCGTGTCGGCGCGCCGACGAGCGAGGACCACCTCAGGGGGAGCCTCGAGGTAGATGAGCTCACGAAAGAAGTCGCAATCGCGCTCGGTGAACACGGGGCCCACCTCTCCGGTGCTCTCGTCGAGAAGGGACGTGTGGCCATCACAAAGGAGGTGCCGACCCTCACGCGCTTGCTTTGCTTCCATCCAGTCGATAGCGGCCATGCGATACTGATGTTTTGTCTCGGCAGGGAGATGATCGAAATGATCGAAGTTTGCGCCCGCCAGCTCGCGTAAAACGGAAGAGCCGACGATGTGGTCGAAATCAGGGATATGTGGGATGACGCTTCGAACCAGCGTGGATTTCCCGACGCCCCGAACTCCAATGAGGCAAATGCGCCTGAGATGGCCTGTCATTTTTCCTCCTCGAGCCACACCAGCCGAATGGAGCAACGATGTCCCTTTTCGTACTGTTGACGAGAAGCACAACGAAAGTGTTCGTTCCAAGGTCGTCTGCCATCGACAGGGTATCGGCTCCAGCAACCACCCCTCGCCACGAAATGATCCCCACCCAGGGGACCGACAGGATCCGTGACGGCTCGAGGTGTGAACTCGCGAGGGCCATCTCGCATGGTTTCATAAACCAGGCCGTGCATATCGAAGAGCCCCCAGCTGTTTGGCTCGAGCAGCCCGACTTGTTGCAGACAGCGCCTCGAGTTTCGCTTTGTCCACGCGAATCGCTCGAGGTCATCCGAGTCGTTGCCAAAGCAATAGATACCGGTGGAGCCCGCGCGACAGGCATACTCCCATTGAGCTTCTGTCGGGAGGTCGAAGCGACCGGAGCGCAGGCGCGCGTTGAGGCGATCGAGGAAGGCGTCGATCTCTCGTTTGCTGATGTGGATGATGGGGTTATCTGGGTGGCGCTCGACGTCCCGCAAGGATGGGAGGCGACCCATCACATCTTCCCATAAGCCCTGCGTCACGAGCTTCGTACTCATCTCGAACGATCGGCTGATCGTGACCTCGTGAACAGGACGTTCATCACGTACCCGTCGGTCTCCCATGCGAAACGTTCCCGCAGGGATGGTTACCATCTCCTCGAGGATGCGAGCCACGAGGGGATCCTGGACTTGCTCTTCTCGAAGCGCATCGGGTCGTGATTCCCGAGGTCCTGTGTGGTCATCCATGGCGGACCTGACCTGCTGCGCCAGGTCATCTGCTTCCAGAAAAGATGTATCGACCTCCCAGGGT